ATTATTTTGCCAATCTTCTGATACTTTTGTATCCACTTTGCCCTCTAGGCAAGTGGCTTCCCAGAAGCATTGGCAGAAAGCAGCTAGAGGCAGGATCTGCTCCTGCGTATCTGTTAGATGTGCAAGAAATGGGATTGCAAGAAACTGTTGTAATACTTAGAAAAGGAGATCATTCTTTCATGAGCTTCTCTCCTCAGAGGGGAAAACTCCTAAACATTGGAGCCAAGGCTCTGCACAGTGAAAGACAAGGAAGAGAAAGAGCCTTGCATGTGTCCTTCTTTCTCTAACTGTTGTAAGTTACCAAAATTAGTTGAAAGGGACTGCATCCTCCACGGAGTGCACCCTGGTTCTGATGTGTGTTTCTGCATGCCCAGGCAATGCAGATTACATACTGCAATAATAGGAGTAAATTGCCATAAACAATTCCATGGAAAGTGAGTTCACGGGCGTTAGGATGATATCCTGGTTCTGCTTTATTCCTCGCTGTTAAAAACTCACACACTCCACAAGAATCTTTCCATTTCTTTCTGAGTCCTGAGGAATAGGAAGGACTCCAACCAATATGCTTTCCTATTTTATTTGGCCTGATCAGTTCCCTGCCATGCGTTGTTCATGTATCAGATCTAGAAAACCCCTGAAGTTAAAATCCTACCTGTTTCGTGCTACAGGCTTGCCTTTCCCTCATGTTAAAGAGAATCCACTTTAATGGTGGATTCCAGAAGGTTTCAGAGCCCAAGAACAGAAGGGAAGACACTGAAACAGTCTTCATTTTCTGCCTTACCAGAAATACACCATGAGTTCATGCTACCTCTAGTCATAGACACTGGGAAAGGGCGTGACCCCCTCATCAAAAAATGTAAGGTAAATTAAAGATGATAACTTTTTGTTTGACTAATCTGTTCTGTATGACTACTAGATAATCAAGGTAGACATTCTTATTTTTTTGACCTTCTGTATTTTCACTTATTTAAATCATTCTCTGGAAATTAAGTACATTTGTATACAAATGACAGCTAAAAGTCAACTGCACTTTAATAACTTCTCCAGATAGATTTACATCTGGTGTATCTCATGGATCCTGTTGTTTTTACACAACTCTCCTAATACATTATTTTGCATTTAATATTTTAGGATGTTTTAAATGCAGGGAAAGCTGGGTGTTTATAATGCATTGCACTGGACAAGCAGTTTTTAGCAGCACTACTTTCAAGTGGCTGCCTGCCTAAAACATATTGAGGGAATGGAAAATACTCCATGTGGTGAGCATATTTAAAGCAAAGTTAATTCAGTTCTGGTAGAATTTAAAGTGTTTTGCTATTAACTGTAACTGATGTCCATACATTTCATCTGCAAGTATCTGTGGGAAACCAAAGCAGAACTGAAATGCAGGAGAGGCAAAGGAGAGTGAAATAAAAAGAAGAAAAACACGTTTTCCGTGTTTTCACTCCTTTGTCCTGAATTTCATGCACTCATATGGATGTCATTCTGGAAGAAAACTGGCTCCATGTCCACCTATTCCAGCTCTTCCACTGAGCAAACCTCCGCAGAGGTGAAATACAGTATTCTGTGGATGGTCTCATCAGCTGTAGGGGAATAGTAGCAGCAGAGACAGCTGGCTCTTGGCAAGCCATTAATAACTTCAAGTCTCCAGGGGCTCAGCTGCACCTCCTTGGTTCTGTGTTACATATCCCACCTGGGAGGTAACACTGGAAACGTAGGGAACAGCAGTTCCAGAGCCACACTACGACCTCTCTGCTGGGTCCTTGGTTGCCCCACCCTGCAGAGTCCCTGGGATGTCAGCATCTCTGCTCACACTGGCGTGCTGCACTGCTGCTCTGACAGGAGACCTGTCCTCCTAACCACCTTATAGCTCATCTACTTCCTCCTGGAGCTGCCCAGCCACCGTTATCTCTCTCTCCCTTGGAGCTGACTGCTGTAGCAGTAGGTTTGTCACAGGCAGCACGAGTGTGCTCTGGCCGCAGGTCAGCTGAGTTCAGGACAGATTTAGCCTGCCTTTTGCTGAGGGAGGGTGCACATCTGAATCTGGTCTTCCAGAGATCACAGAACTTCAGGCACTGAGCTGTTTGATGCACTTTCTTTGAGATCTGTGCTTCGGTTGCCAGTGACTTTAATAGAGCTGGAATATAAATCATACTGAATGTAAAACATTTGGGCTTCAGTGTGTTGGGCAGATATCCATGTAGAGAGAAGGGTAATTAAATCCTCTTGCATTTTAAACCTTATAGAATAAGGCTCTGGCTGAGGTCTTGCACATGTGGGAATTTTCTCTGGTGAAGCCTGTTGGGTTGCCAGTAATGTGGATAAATAAAAGGCTTAACAATTAAGAAAGAAGGAAAACAAAGATGATACACCTGTCAAACTTTTTGTGTTATTAATGCACAAATGAAAAACCGTGATGCTTGTGCATGCTGTTGCCCTTAATACCAGCTGTTGCCTGTGCACATGGGCTGATATTTCACATGGCTGAGCAGCCCTGCTGCCAGCAAGCACTCAAACAGGCAGCCTCAATAACAGCAGTCTTCCCACACTCCATACAATTTAAGCTATTCTTCAAATTAATAATAATACTTAATAAAGCTTCATCTCTCATTTGCAAAGAAAACCTTCAATTAATGGTAATCAGCATCCTCAGAATGTGATCAGCCTGGGCTTGTAGCTGGACGTGCCGAAACAGTTCAACTGGCAGATGGAGCGTTTTCCAACTATTCTAATTAATGACTGCTCATTTCAAATGTTAATGCAATTAAATAAATAGGCAAAACAAATAAAAATAATATACAGTATGAAATTGCCAATATCAGAGCGAGTTCTGATCAAAAAAGTGAGCCTCACTCAAATCCAGAAAGGGCCCAACCTCCTGACTAAATAAGTTTTGAAAGATCTAGGACTAGCTTTTGTTACTTACTTCCAACCATTTCTCTGCAAATGACATTTATATCACTTCCATTTTAACCTGTTGGCATCGACTGAGGAATTGCTTCTTTAAGTGTTAGAACATTTTCCTGCAGAAAATGAGAAGGGATTCCTTTCACATATTATGGGCTTTTTTTGGTGTAAGATTCAGACTTGCCTTGCTTCTTGTCTTTTCTATTTGAAATAATTGCCTACCTTTTTTTTTTTTTTTAGGAGTTTCATTTTCTGTGAACATTGTATACCATACCAGTGATGTGGGACTGCATTTGTTTGGGCTTATAAAGAGTTCAATTAGCCCCTTAATGCCTAGTTCAGTCACAATTAAACCTTCCCTGTTGACTCAGGATTGGTCTTTCTAAAGGCAGTGGAGGTGGTTTTAATTATTCATTCTCTGGTTTGTTTCTTACAGCAGTCTCAGCTGTGCTTTATTATTCAAAGGTTAATGCAAACTGAGAACTGGGTAAATTAAATTTGTTTGGCAGCTAGCAACCTGATGTATTATCGACACTGTGAAATATGGACGGCAACACTTCTGCTATTGTGCCACTTAAAAAGCCAGATTTTTATCTTTAAAACAATTGCTAGTTTTGTTACTATGGCTGAAAGAAAATGAATGTTCCATAATGTTATGGTCTCTGTAACCCATTATTGTTGAGAAGGCGAGGTAGTTTAGAAAGCCAAGAAGCATTAATAGCCATTGTATAAAATGGATGTAGGTACCATGACTAATGAAGTGCTCTGCACAGGACTAAGTTGTGCAGCTGTAGTCAGGGAATCGTGCAGTCAGAAGTTTTAATGAAGGGAGCCCAAGGAATTGCAGGTGAAAGCGGGTTTTATTAACTTGCAGTGAACAAAACGAATAGTTGAGCAGTGAACATGACATGATGTCATATAATAATTGTATGCCTTGGGTACATTGTAAGGCATGGAGCACAGCCAAGAGCTTTCAGCTGTTCTACACACAGAGTGATTCCACAAACCCCTGTACGCTGCAGAAACCTTCACTGCAAACATAACAAGAATTGTTTCACAAGAAATGCCTTAAGACAATACCACATCACTTTTTTGAGATATCTACCAGCACTGCCTTCCTCTGAACTATATTAATCAGATATCTGGAAGTCACCATTACAATTGATCCTAATTAAAATTCAGGTCCTGTATCAGTGACTGTAATCAGCAGGCTGTGAACAGAAAAAAGTCAACATATGCTTTAAGAGGCCATCCTGAGTAAAATACATATTTGTATGGACAGGCATTATATTGTATGAAAGGAGGCTGTGTTGGCTTTTAGAAGAGTCATGTCCAAGAACTTTTATTAGTTAGTATTTTATTTCATCTTTTTCAGGAATTCACCATACGAAGGAGAGATTTTTTTTTTGTTTCATACAGGATTACATTTTGTACATTTTAAATAGTATTTCAGTACTGTGTTTTTAACCAAGGACTTTGAATTAAGATAATCCAACACTTCCTGTTGGTTTTAACATAATTAATGTAAGCCAGTTCCTGTTTATATTATTTTTAAGAGAGGGGGAAAAAAAAAAAGGCAGCCTTCTGTGGTCGTAACTGGAGACCTTAGGTTAGGAACAAGTGCAGCTGCAAGGTTGGGTGTACCCTGCTTAGTACAGTCTGCGTAGTGTGTGTAATTACACTGCTACTGACTGAGGAGGTAGGTGGATGGGGAGGTAGGTGAAAATAGGATGGCTTGTGAAGCAAGACAGTGACAAGACATCTCAGCAAAGTCTCTGTCTCCTTGCACTGTAAATACTTCACATCTGCCCACTAAAATATTTGAGATAAGACAGTTGGGAATTTTTCTGTGCTCATCTGAATAATTTATGATGTGATTTTAATACTTCTTCCAGGCTGAATATATCACTTCTCTGACAGAGCTTAGGACAACAGATGCATGTTCTATTGGGGACTAACTTAATGTACGTGATACACAATTTTAGTTTCTGGTGTTACCGCAAAACCAGGGGTACTACTGGTAGAGTATAATTGCTGCAGTATATCCTTGATTGTATGTGGTTATTATGTTATATTTTTGTTTTCTATTTTAGTGCTGGACCCAAAGGAGACAACATTTATGAATGGAGGTCAACTATACTGGGGCCTCCAGGGTCTGTATATGAAGGTGGAGTTTTCTTCCTTGACATAACCTTTTCACCGGACTATCCCTTTAAACCACCCAAGGTTAGTAGAAGGATATTCAAAGTCTGATAGGAGTCTTTTCCTCCTGATTTTTTTTAATGTGTATGTTGGTATATCATTTTAGGATGAAACATAAAACTTTCAAAGCAATATTGAATTTTTAAACTTGACTCTTTTGATAGAATTTATATAACTGGCTAAAATTTTCTTGCATGATGCTGGTATAGGTGAATGGATATGGATTTATTTAGAAAAAGGTTGCATGATTTCCAGTGTCTGTTTGTTAAATCTGGATTTGTTTCTAACATAAAAGTGCTTATAACTGAGTTGCACCCTTTATAAGTAGCTGAAGATACTTAATCTTTTCTGTTGACCCATATAATTTACCAGGCTTATATGGCTGTCTGGACAAAAATATGCACTTATTTCACTACCCCATATAATATCTGCAGGTGCAAGATATTATAAGTAATTGCTTTACATCCGTTTTCTGGAAGAATGTGGAAATATGGCACCAAAATCAAGAAACTGGAGTGACAGAGATTTACAGAAATCCTTAGAGGTTCTTTTTATGATGCTGTCTATAATGATACCAGCCAGAAACAGAGAACTGTATGAATAACATGAAGGTGACAGATCGTTACTGTGATCAACTTGAAATGTCAAACATGAAAAATCTAGTGGTTAGGAAGACTGCACAAACAGAAATGGGTGGAATGTGGCAATACAGAACATCATCTGTAAGCAGTAGAAATAATTGCTGAGGAGGATGTTAGAATGGGACTTTATTGCTTGATCACAGGATTGTTGCAAACCACCTGCTTAATATATTTATGAAAAAGGCAAACATCCTCCCAAAATGCATCCTCTGGCCTACAGAGAGAGGGAATTACCAATGTCAGGTACAAGGTGCTTGGAAGACCTTTTCTGGAGGACTGAGTGCAAATCTTAACATACATGTTCGCTTATAGGAACAGAAACCAGGAAAATTTATCCTGCAGAGCTGTTAATATAATCAAATAAATTGAAGGGGCTGTCTTCCATGAAACAAAATAAAAAGAGGTGCATTGTTCACCTTGCCACTCTGGAGAGTGTGTCTGGATGATCCCCATGGAAGGAACTGTGAGATCAAAAATATTTACCCTGTTTCTGACCCATTTATGAAAGGATGAGTCTACCATGTTGGTCCATAATCAAAGGATATTGCATTAAAAGAGAGAGAAGCCAATTCCTATTCAATTACTTTGAGTAGATTATTGAAATATAAGTGCTTATATAGAGAATTATAATACCACAGTGGTAATGTTTACAGTAGTAGTAGTAGTAGTAACATTGATATTATCAAGAAAAGTTTTGTGAAACAAATGAGAGATGGGAAAGCAAAGCACTTACCATTCTGTAAATTGGACTTTCCCAGCCAGTAACGTAAAGATGGGTGAGTGAAGCAGTATTAGAGCCAGTTTGTTTCCCACTTTTAGTGCTCCAGTTTAGAGAAGCCTTGATGTCATTGAGAGGTGTTGGAGGAGTTGTACACCTTGCTGACAGCACAGTTTCAGATTTAGGCAGCTGTTACACAGTGAAGAAAGAATTTGAAACTTTATAATGTCTCCTTCAGTTTGTTAAAGCTCTGGGCACGCTGAGCCAGGGTCAGTCCTGTTCTGTTCTTCCCCCTGTCCTGTTCTTCCTGCCTCCCCCCAGCCCAGCCCACAGTCTGTACAAGGTCTGTTTTAACAAGCCTTATTTATTTACTTCTTTCTTGGGCTTAGTCTGTTTGCAATAGCTACCATGCAAGGGTTACATTCAGTCCCCCCAAAAAAATTAAAATTGTATTAATTAGGGGATAAAATGGCTTTATGGCATGTAAAATAGAGCTTGAAGTTCTCTTCAAGAGGAGTAGTACCTAAGAACTAGCTCTGAAAGCAAATTTACAGGGAGGTCTTTTGTCATTCTCTCTGTTGAGTCTGTTGAGTCTTGAGGGAGGGTATACAATAGACACTCTTTTAAAACAGAAGTTGAAGGTCCAGTTTGCTTTTTCACCACAAGGTAAAGTCTTTTTCAATCTGCACTCAGTTGTGCTCAGCAACTGTGTTATTTTGAGATATGAGTAATGCAGCTGTGCATTGCTTACTAATGAAATGTCAAGCGAAGAGGTGGTTCTTGTCCTGCTTCGTAATAGATTTTATTGTCTGCCTTTATCTTGATGCCAGTTGTCACTGTAAGAAATGTGTGCATATAAATCATATGAAAATGTACTGCTTGATAAAGGATAAGAGAATTGATGATGCCATATTGTATTACTAAAGGGCCAGTATTTATGACGAGGGAAATTGTCATCTGTAAGAAAGCAATGAGTGTGTGTGCACGAGGGACTCATGTCAGATGTAACTGTGTCATAAGTATGTGTTATACACATGGATTCTCACTTTATTTGCTTTAGCCACAGCTCTAAATGACCCCTATTTTCAGTTCTGCTGTATGACCTCGCAAACTACTGCTATGTCATTACACCTGTTTTCCAGACCTTATGAAACTCATGCATAGGTGAAATAGTTAGGGAAATCCCTTGAATAAAGCAGCATGGGAAGACCATTGCTTATCATAAGGTAGCTGCTGCCAGTCAGCATTGCAGCTGGGAAAGGCTAGTTAAATGTGTTCTCCCCAAGCTGATTTCTGGCAAAAGAAAGGTACTGAATACATGGAACGTAACACATGGCCTCAGGGTACAGTGCTATCTGTGTCATTGGGTGTTGGCATCTCTTCTACTTCACCACAAGATTTGTGATATTTTGTGCTGTGCTCAGAGACATGGATTATAGGGTTGTAGGCATAGATCATTTTAGATTTCTTTGTAATTATATTCTGATTTTTCTAACTCCTTATGGCTCTATCGTCTTAAAAACCTAGGGATAAGGTACAAGACTGTGAAATGTACTGAGAAAGACATAAAATGTATCCTGAGTGTTGGCAAGATTACCTCCCTGTAAGAACATAGCAGAAAGGGTCTAATTCACATTTTTCACTATGATTGAATTCATAAATTACTCCTGAGATTTCTGTGGACCATTTTCATCCCTCATTCACTGTGAAGTAAGGAAATATTTAAACAAGTACTGTCAAAATTGATCTTCCAAAAATATGACCACAGAAAACCTGGGAAGAAACAGAAACTATATTTCCCAGATGCAATTACTTGATCCAGCCTGGGATTCCAAAGGCAAATTCCCACGTCACAAAACATAGTCACTGTTGAGGGGCCTAATCCACAGTGTGTTAAAATCTGCAGAAAGATCCCTTTTCCTTACCTGTTCTCAGGTGTTGTGCACTCCAATATCATGCATGTGTATGTCACACATGGATCTTGAGGAGGGTAAAATAATTTTTTAAATAAGTAAAATACACTGAAAATGGATTTTGGACATGGGTCTTTTATTTTTACTACCATCATTAAAATCTATTCATGATGTAGGCACTGTTTGATTTGTATTATACAAAGTTCTTCATATTTTCTGAGGGATCCAGATCGCTTCTGTAAACACTGTTGATGCCTGTTCTGATCACTGAGCATCCTGTTGCATGTTGGAAAACATTAATTAAATAAACAACAGAGACCATACTGGTACAAGTAAAGATGCGCAATTTTGACCTATAATTTGGTTTTTCTTTTTAACAAATGTACAAAGTAATTTTCATTTGCTCTTCTAGATAGTTAATCTGCTTTGCCTTTATTACATAAAATAAAGTGAATCATTCTTTCATTCAGGTTTTGTTTAACAAAGAAAAACATCTATCCAAATTTTCACTTTTAGGTATTTCTTCTGTTTTTTCACCTTTGTAGCCTCCAACAATATTAAGATTTTCAAGTTTTATCTCCATCTTTCACATTAATTCTCCTGTGTGATCCAATCACATTTCAGCTTTTGTATAGCAACACATCACTGTCATCAGGTTTGCCTTCCAGTCTGCACCATCAAACCTTTCCCCTGCAGATCCATAGTTTTCTTTTTGTCTGTCCTTACCTGTCAGTGTCTTTCCAAAGTTAAACTATAAGCATAGTATCAAATTAAATTACTCTTCACCATCACATGTGGTAAGTCAGAGTATAATTTGCTCTCACACTATTAATTTCTTCCCCTTTGAAGTCAGTCTGTTTCAGTATTTCAACTTTGTCACGTGCCTTGAAACTGGACTCCAAATTTTTTGTGCCAGGGGTCACTGACCTTTTCAGCTCTGCTTTCCTTATAAATCGGTGGCATTTGGCTTCACTCACAATTGCAGCACACTCATGCAGAGGAGGGAGTTGTTCTTCCCCTAAAAAGTTTACCTCTGTGTGACCAATTCAGCTTGAGTAGGAGTGATGGAGGGCCAGCCCAGCCTAGCTCCAACTTAGCCCTACAACCAGAAAACAAGATTTTTAGAACAGCTCATCTGAGAACTGACAAATTAGCTTTGGCTTTCTGGGAGGCTCTAATCAATTAAAAGTATTTCCTTGCCTCCACTGTGAGGAAGCTGCTGTAGCACTGCAGAAATGAGCTGAGCACCTCGTTGGCTGAGTCAGCAAGAAGGCAGGCGGGCTGCGCCATCACTCTTCTCCTCTCGGCAGCATCCTCAGCGTCACATTGGTTTTATGAGATGCCAGACAGAAGGAAGGTGTGGAACACACAAAGAGAGGCATAGATGTGGTGATGAGCTCACTTTCTGCTAAAGGCCAGATGCTGCTGAGGCTTCAATCTAGGTCGCAAGGTGAGGTTTCACTTCAGCCGAAAAATACAGCACATCCCTTGTAGTGTAGGGGACTGGAAAAAAGACAAAGCTGTGCCCTGTTCAGAGTAGAAATGAATAAAAATGTTTAGATAACCTGCCAAGAAAATAACCTTATATTTTTTTCAGTGGCTTAATGACCCTCTCAACCTTTTTTAGAAATACCTTTGAGATTTCTTTTTCCTGCTAACTATCTTCCTTTCATCCCTAATGGATTCATACAGTTCACCCTTTGGCTTTAACAGAGGAAAGCTCTCTCTCTCTCTCTCTTTCTCTATCCCATT